GGGCTAACAATCTACTTTAATAATAAGCCACAACCACTTTTCATGTTACAAAAGGAATTACAGAAATGGTTCAAATAATTTAAATATTATTTAAAAATCACAGATTCATTGTTCTATTATATTATCAAATCATTAAGATTTCATGGTAAGCCCAACTTATATCATCCCATTTACCTTTTTCTTCTAAGAAAGTAAAAAATAAACAAAAATATAGAGATTTTTCTCCTTTACAGTTGAAGTTATTCTTTTCAACAATAGTGCCATAGAGTTTAATGTGAATTTGGCTATGACTTTTGCTAAAGTCAATTGGCAATAAAACAGAATTTATTTTAAAGAGAAACTCACCCATCCAACACTTCTGCTTGATATGGTATTTCAAGTTTAGAATAACTCTTTTCCTTTGCTTTCACAGTGATTTTCCCAGAAAACTGAGATGGTTTTTTTGCCTTTGATGCTGAAAGGAAACATAAAAAAACACACATAAAAAATCTGTCATCTTTTGCTACCAAAGAGTTTACACAGAGGAGTGTGAGAGTGACTATGTAGACTGATAAAATCTTAAAAAGAAAGCTGAGCTTTCAAATTGACAAACAGAATAGTTTTACAACATTTTAAATCAAATATCATGTTTTTCAAACGAAAAACGTTTTAATTTTTGTGTAACAAGACAAACAAGTGAGGAATTAGCAAATGAACACAATTCAGGAGGAAAAATGCTGTATTTGAGCTACGTCTCTAAGCGATGGCTTTGTTCATAGCAGGGCTTCTCAACGTCAGCACTATTGACATTTTAGGCCAGATGAACTTTTGGTGGTGGGGTGGGGGAGGGATGGCTGCCCTGTGCATTGTGGGGTATTTAGCAGCATCCCAGGCCTCTACTTGTTAGATATCAGTAGCACCCCCAGCTGTGACAATCAAAAATGTCTGCAGACACTGCCAAACATCCCCTGGGAGTGAAACTGGCCCTTACTGAGAACCGCAGGCTTGCAGCTGCACAAAGAAAGAAATGCTGTTCTTTATATGGCCAGAGTCTTGCTATAAATACCCACCAAGTAGGTTATGAGCTCTGGCTTCTTGTGTTAGCCACCCTAACTCACAGTGTAAGAGGAGACATCCCTCCTTGCTACCCTGTTGTCCTCACAGATGAAGTAAAAGCTTTCAGTTCTGTAGTAAGTAGTTCCATGTAATTCTCTCTGGAGTTACAGAAATACATTCAGTTGGATCTCATCTGGGTACCCACTGAATGTTCCTTTCAAAGCAAATACAGAAGCTGTTTATCTTAATCCCCTTTAGAGGACTTCAGAAGCATATCTGCTTAGGAGAATTGACATGTGAATTCTGCAAATGGTTGTTATCCAACTTTAGCGCGTGTGCACATACACACACACACACACACACACACACACACACACAGGTATGACATCTAGTATGTGACTACATACAGACTGTGATTTCAGATTATTTAAATTCCCATTAAGCTTCATTTCTTTCTGCTTGCTCCATAGCCATTTCTGGATGCTTTTAGGTTTTTGCTATTTATTCTGATGTAAAGTTGATCACAAGGGCCATAATTTACACATTTCATGGTATCTTACTAATGATATTTTAGTAAATGCAGTTTTCAAAAACCTCAAGAAAATTCAGTTGAAAATCACAAAGAATAGTGACTTGATGAGAAAGATGCTTGAACACTGAAGTGTTAATACAGATGGCGCATTCTGGAAATACTAAAAGTTAAATAAAACAAACATGTCCTGTTGATTTTCACAGCAATCTCAGTGGTACTGTGTGTGGGGACCTGGGGTGGTGGTGGGCCGAGGGGGAGGTGAGGGATTCTCCCTTATAAAAACAACCACTTTTAAGAAATATGCCATTTGCTTAAAAGATGCTTTCTCTTTGTCTCTGTATTTAATTTTACATAATTTCTTTAAGACACACTTCTTTTATTCTGATCTCAGGAGAACCTACATTACTAACATTCATTCATCTCCAGAATGAACATTCAGCAGGTTTGGTCCCGGAGCGGAAGGGGCAGAGCGGGGGCCCAGACAGACACTGCTGGACCGTACTCCCATCCCTGGGCTTACCGGGAGGGTGGGCCCCAAGTGTTCTCAGGGCTCAGGATTTCCTACTGGCCCCTCTCTTTCTTGGTAAGACAAGAGAGTGTACCTGCTGATGCTGAGATTGACACTGGTGGTCATACTGTGGTATCTTAGCAACAGAGAAGACAATTTATCATAGACTTGGAAATAACTGCGGCATCAAAACCTTCAATAGTGCCAGCTCTTGGCAGCTGAATTATGACAATATGCCACATATTTCATCTGGATTTCCTCAGGGTGTGCTCTGAGCTCACAGGGTGAAGACTGAAGCTGGGGCCCAGCCCCTCCTGAGAAACCCCTGTGTGAGCCTTAGGCACAGGTACTCTCTCTCAAAGACACATGTAGAGTGTTCCAGTGTTCTGCCACCTGCAGGTCACTCAGTGATCAAATACTGTCATCTGCTGGGGAGCTGAGCCTTAAAATGTGGACTGTGAGAAGAGTGGCTCTGTCATGAAGCCAGAGTTTAAGCTGCGGGGCTCGTCACTTGCATGGACCCCGATGACAAAAGACCCCTCTGAAATTTCTGTTCTCATTAAGTTTACTTACATACACACTCAAGCAGCTATTAAGTCACTATTTGAAAAATTTTGTGACAGCAAATAAAAATAAATACTGTAGCAAAGCGGGCAAAAATTAATAAAAACAAACTATTAAAATATGTTAAAGTCTGGGGTAACATTCCAAATATCGAAATACGTAGTATAATGGTTACCTAATTTGACAATTCTATCATAAAGGCTATTATTTTAGCTTAGGCCTTGCTTATAAAAGCCAATATATGAAAATGTTACAGAGAATACCTTATTCCTGCTCTCAAATTCAGATATGCTTCCGAAATTCAAATACATTATCACCTAATGACAAAAAAAATGACTTCATAATGACGGCAATGCATAATTGGAATATATGTGGAAGAGCCCAGATGACAAAAATTTAATTCCAATCCTAATGTATTTGCCAATGCTAATTTAGGTTTATGAAGTTATATTTTCTTTCATGAAACAATCAAGTAAGAGTTTGTGATGGTTTACAAGAAAAACCAACCTAAGCTATATAAAATCTGACTGTAAAATGGTCTGGGTTTCTATATTAAGATGTTGACTTAGTTGCCTTGTAGTTTATCAAAATAAGACCACTCTATTAGAGAGAAAAAGATGAATACTTACCATCAAAACTAATACTTGCGACTTTGGTATATTTACTTTCTGAAGCTTTTAAGGTAATTGGTTTAAAGTGTACCGTTATAGCGTCATTTTGTGGTGTAGGTCGAACACTCTGCAAAGAGAAAAAAACAGGTATCACTGTTTTAGCTCTTTTGCCGCGACGGTCAGATATATCTGAATGAATATATCAATTTTTTTTTTTTTTTTTTTGTAGCTGAGCCATCCTGCCACCTGTTGGAAGCTCAGTTCGGGCAGGGCATCGAACCACCGTTGCTCAGAGCTCGCACTCTTGAGTGAGCTCTTAACCAACTGAGCCACTCGGCTGGCCCCCAAATTTTTATACATAAAAATAATGTCACTTATACACAAAGCAGCTCAAATTGTTATTAAATGCACAAAATAGTCAAAATATCAACTTTTTGTTTTTTTGTGGATTTCTGACACATTTTGAAAAAAAAAAAACCTTGAAATCAATCAATGCGGCGTTAAGAGTTAGTCTAATGGTTCAGTTACATTACCCTGGAAAGTGTACTGGAAAAGGCAGGCAGGATCAAAATTTGGAAAGCTTAACTTTATGTGGTCCCTTTAAATGGAGTAGGCCAAACTAATAAAACTTCCAATTAATTTCATTAGAATATCTTCATAAAATAAAATGACCAGAAGAAAAATGTATGATAGATGAGCGTACAAATCTAAAGACAAACCAGTATACTGGGTGTCAGTTCATAAAACAGAAAAAAGGGTATTTAATTTTCCAAATGGATGCCTAATTCACATGTGAGAGTAAGAGACATGACGATGGTCCAGTATGGTCCCTCCTATAGAAGTCCCAATACTAAGTGTGACACCTGGCTCTATGCAGATGAAGGGTGACCATGAACTTGGGAGCCAGGGCAGTGCTGCAGGTCCCTTCTCACCCGCTCTCTCTCTGCAGGGCGCTCCCAGCTGTGGGACTGAGTATGAGGCCACAGCAGGGGTGTGCAACCGGAAGAGGTCAGAACTCTTTAAACTTAATACACATGGTATTTCTATTTAAAAAACAAACCTAAAGTAACAACAACAACAACAATAAAAAACAGTAAAAGCTTGCACTCTTTCAGCAAGCTTAAAAAAATAAATACATTTTTAAGTGCAGTAATTTTTTAGTCGATGATCCTCACTGACACAAAGCGTTTTTCACTAAAGGGACTTTAAACATCCCCACCGCCTCCCTGTTTATAGGTAAGGAGGATCGTGCAGGACTGAGTGGTGTTTCCGTAGCCAGGTGCTGGGAGGTAGAGCTGGAAGCCAGGTATCCTGACTGGGTGCTGCGCCCTCCTGCACCGGCAGCCCACCGCCCAAACATGGATGTGAAACTATGGTACTGTCCACAAACCTCGTTCAAAAATCTTCCTTTAGAATTTCATTTCAATCTTACTTTGGTCTCAAAACCCATCTGGGGTTTTTGTGGAATGCTCAGAGGTTTATAAACACTGTTGCCAAAGCCTGGTGCCTCTGACATGCTCAGGCAGCACGTATGCTAACACGGAGCACTAAGGTCCCTGTAGGTCACAATTGCCCTGGATCCTCGCCCTCCCCTTCCCCTCTCATAAAGATGGGATGGGACAAAGGGCAGGTCCTTGAAGGCACAAGGAGCACCAGAGAAGAGTGTGAAGAAAAACCGTCCCTTTCGCACGTCTGAGGCCCATGGAAGGACGCCGCCGGTTTTGTGCAGGGACTATAGACACTGCCTGCTCCCGCCGAGGGTAGAGCTGCTCCCCCTCCCACTGCTGGCCAGCCAGGGCCAGCCCTGGGGCGTATGCAGGTCTTGCTGGGCCTGGAACTGTGGCCCTGGCAGGCTCTGCAGGTTTCTGTGCCCCATGTCCTCATAGCCTTGCACTTGATTCTTCTTCCTCCCCGTCTGAGAACTCCTTCCTTGCTTTTGGATCTCTAATGGAGACTGGGAGCCCATCTGTTTATGTCAATGTATTTATTATCAGGAAAGCTTGCTGGTACCAGCAACCACTTAAAGTACAGATCTTCATTCTTTCAAGGGGGTGTGTGTATATATGTGCCTGTGTTCATAGCAGTGTGAAGTGGAAGATAAACGACAAATTGGGTAACGTCTCATTTGTTTCCTTATACCACACTACCGTGCTAATACTTCTCAAGGAAAGGGAAGCTGGACAAATGCGTATGTGACAATGCAGTGATCAGTTTACGCAATAAGAGCGTATTCACTACTTAACTACAAGCGTGAGCTTGCGTAAGCTGCCCAGCTACTCTGGGCCTGAGTTTTCCCACCTGTAAAATCCTAGGGGATTGGATTAGGTGTTTTCTAAGAGTCCGTCTATCTACAAAATTTTGTGATTTGATTAATTTTGTTGTTTGTTCAAATAAGTGACTTCCAATCTGAGGTCCAGACTGTTAGAGAGATCTTAGAAAGCGCGGACTGTGCAGAGGGCCTGCACAGGAGACGCGGCTGTGCTGGCTGGGACACAGCAGCCCCATGATCCTGACAGCTCAGACATGTCCAAAGACTGTGCATGGCAGTGACCACCAAAGCACTTCTGGAGTGTTCTCACCCTGCACAGTGCCCATGCCGGAAACAGCTAAGCACTGGTACTTATTAAAAAACAGTCACTGTATGTAGTAAGAGCTTAGGCCAGTTGAGGAATGAATGTATTTCTCACATGAAACACCACTTTAAGATTTTCCTTACCAGAGGGAAATTTTATATTCAGTATCATGACCTTTAAACATACTGCACCACCAATAGTAAACAAATAGTCAACTGACTTGTTTTACACACATGGTCTGAAATGTTCACTTATTACCACTAAAAACCCCCCGAAATCAGTTAAAACCCATTTTCAAGGAAACAAAATCAATGCACAACAAAATACTTAAATAGTTGGCTCATTCTGGTGGCTTTAAATGAAAAATAATGCAAATCATTAACTTGTAAATAACAGATTTATATACTAACGTCTGTTTCAGTATCAGTCACTAACTGTTGCTTACTTAAAGATAATCAAGAAGTGGAAAAAATATGGGAAGATTCCCAGGAAATGCAGCCTTCACATGTTCTAAATATGGTTCCAGCCTTTTCCCACGACACTCATACCCGACTAGTGTGCAGTAACTCCCCAGGGAGTCCCAGGGGCCCGGCACTTCCTGAAACAATTGACAAAAGCATTTGAGCAAGCAAGGAAAATCACTTTTCAGTGAGTAACAACTGTACACAATAGCTGCACAAATTTGCTAAAGCTCTTATCAAGCTGATATTGGCAAAACAAGTAAGCACTTCGGGGATTCTTATTCATCAATTAAATTAACAAGGAACCTTCCTGCAAATGTTCCTCTCAGGCCATGTAAAGCAAATTTGCTCCATATTTATGCAGCATTAATGTTTTTAAATGTTTTACAGCTATTCTCAAAGTTGTGCCACAGACGACCAACGGGAGGAAGACCTGGACCTGTGCATCTTGCCACTACCAGGCGAGGTGCTTGTATTTGGAGTTGCTTGCTTTAGCAGTCCTCTGTCTACAAAGATGAAGAGACTGAATTCCTGAAGGGGAATTTAAAACCTCCAGCTTCATGCAAACTACATATTTGTGACGAGGAAGAAGGCCGAGGCCGTCCTACCATCCATTCATCTCTAAGTCTGGCTCATTGTGTAGAAATAGACAGAAGCCTTAGGGGGCTCTTATAACTTGGTTTCGCCCCCTGGCGAAGGCGGGGGGTGGGGGCGAGAAACACCTTACGTGGACCACTGCATCAGAGTTCTAACTTTCTGCGGTTCGTTCTCCACAAAGCAATTCCAGTGGCCTTTCATAACACAGAAATGCTTCAAATTCTGTGATCCCCGCTGCACTTACAGTAACACCTAAACTTATCCCCAGCTCCAGGCAGCAGGCATGACTCTCCCGCCCAGACCTTTTACATCAGCCGCTGTCTCTCACCACATCCAAAGCCATCCCTGCCTCACTCAGCTCCCTGTGCTGGGAACACCTGTCTGCCACTTTCTGTTATGGTGGCTACCTCCTAGTCCTTAGTTATGTCTTGGAAGGGCAGCTGCTCAGACAATCCTATCTAAACCACTCCCCCTCCCCCACACTCACATGCCCTTGTTTAAGTAAAGTGGCTCCATTTACAATGATGCAGTAAAACCTTGGCTGTCTGATTCACTAATGTGTTCTCAGTACTTAGCACAGGAGGTGGCATATCATTGATGCTCATTAAATATTTATTGAAGGAAGAGATGAATGAATGAGGAAATAAGACAAATCTACCCAAACTCTGGATGGGTGTAGGCTTTAGATATTAGAAAAAAAATACATACATAAGTAGCTGCAGATGAAGATATACAGACATATACAGAGATCACTAGGTTTTTAACTAAAACATTGAATGAAAATGAAAATGATATATTCATAAAGATTGGATTGTCACTATATGCCTAATATACTGTCACGTAACTTTGGAGTTTTTATAGTTGAGTAAGTCCCTTGAAAAGCTCTGACTCATTTTCCCTCTTTAGAAAACTAGGCTGTATGCACCTTATAGGACTGCTGTACATAAGGTAATCAATGCACAGAGCAACCTCGCATGGTGCCTGACCCACAGGAGAGCAAGTAAGAGAGGAACGGGGGAACATGGCCTATTTCACTCCCTGTCACAAGAATATTGAATACTGCATTTCTTTTCATTCACATTCTTAGGATTAGCTGCTAATTTCATTTTCCTAGAAAATGTTTACTGAAAAAGACATTTGTTTCCGTCCATTCTGTAAAGGCACTTGCCCACCAAATCTCTAAATCCTCCTAATCTGGAGAAGCGACTGCAGGCCTGAAGTCTGCCCAACAAGCACAGAAGTCCCCACTCTGACCCTGCTCTATGCAACAGCCTCCCACACATGAAAGAAGCCAGGAACAGACAGCATGCAGAACACGCGAAAACTACAAACCATGTGACATCTCAAGCTGAGGCAAGGGTAGGGTGTCCACCCACAGCCAGGTTTGTCCTCCAGGCAGACACTGCGGTCCACAGCTGAAGGGCATCTCGGCCGGCGGTGGCCTCTGTGGTGGTCACTGACTGACGAGGAGGAGAGGGCTGGGAAGGGGGAGTGCATATGTGGAGTCACCCTGTCTGCAGAGATATGTGCTCCAGGCAGCCCACAGGCTGAAGAAACCCAGGATCCGAGAAGCAGGTTACGGCTAAAGCAACCTGGGCAAAGCTGGCAGAAGAATTACACTGCAGTCCAGGAAATTCTGATATACATATTAAACTAGAAAACTTTGAACAAAAACAATCACAACTATGGGTAAAAAGTTAGATTGTAAAAATGGTAACATACAGCAGTGATTCGTAGGTCTCTGCATTTTACCTACTGTTAAAATCTAGAATGTGTGTGTTTATGCTTGTGGAGGAAAGTCTAACAGATTTTCTAAGTTTTCTTTTGCAAATGTAAGGATGTGGGTGGCAGGGGAAGGAGAATTTGCTACTATCAACTACCTTGATTCATAAAACAAAGAGTATTTTAATGTCAAAGTAACAGAGAGAATTAATAAAACCAAAAGTTAGTTCTTTGAATCAGCATAATTGACAAACCTATAGTTAGACTGACCAAAATGTTATTTTAAATACAGACAGGACTCAAATTACTAAAATTAAGGATGAAAGATAGAACATTACTACTTATCTCACAGGAAAAAAAGGATTATAAGAAAATACTATGAACAATGGTATGCCAACAAATTAGATAACTGATATGAAATGAAAAAATTCCTAGAAAGACAAACACCGAAGCTGATTCAAGAAGAAACAGAAAAATCTGAATAGACCCCAAGCAAGCAAAAAGGCTGAAGTAGTAATTTTAAAACTTCCCACAAGCAAAGCCTGGGCCCAGGTGGCCTCAGGGGTGACTTCCCAGCACAGAAAAGAAGAGTTAACAGTGAAGCTTCTGCACTCCTCCCAGAATCAGCAGACCAGGGAACACATCCCAAAATTTGTTTTATAAAAACAACCATCTACTACTTTTAGTCATAAAATAATGGGTATTTTAACATCAAACAAAAAAACAAGTATATTATCGCAGAATAGTCCTTCTCCAGAAAGGGTGTTTATAACTTTATATTAACATACACACACTCATATTTTTATAAGCATTTATAGTTATTTTGTTCATTTTTCTGTAGACTTGTGAAAATTTCAGTACAGATTAAAGAGCCAAAGCGAATCACTAACCCCTCAATATAGTAGTAACAATCAGCATTATGCATATATTTTTAGAAAAATATAATTATTGCTATAAATAGTAATTACAAAGAAACTGCACAACAGAAACATTCACTGTAGGATTTCCTTATGTAAAAGGTCACGACTGGAGGACACAATAAGTTTAATTCCCATAGAAACTTCCATGATAATCATTCAAAAGACTGAATTTAAAGAAAATAATCAAGTCACCAAATAAAAAAATGAATATATTTTTTGAAAGCAAGCACAGAGAAATCTATAGACTAAGGTTACTGTTTAAGAAGGAAGGTAAGAACAAGAGACAATGCTGCTTTGGTGTTTTGTTTCCATGGTACTAGGTTGGCCAAGTTTTTCTTGCCACCTGTGGAAGGGTCTCAGGCCTCTGGGGACACCCGAGGAGACCAGCAGTGGAGGGGCAGGACTCCAAGTGGGGTAGTCCCAGCCCCCACGCTCCTATTCCACCCTCAGGTCTCCCACCAAGCAGGACGCCGCCTGGAGGCAGCCCACTAGCGAGCAAGGTCACTGCATTAAGATGCTGTTTCGTGGGGGTGAGGGCCTCTGGCTTCCTCACTGGTTGTCTCCTCTCCTCTCTCTGGTCTCTACTGCGCCGCCTGCTGGTAACTCTGGGTTTGGCTGTGGGTGGACAAAGGACCCTGATCAAGGCTGAAGCCCAGCTGGTCTCTGATTTTATCCTTGTCTGAATTTTGGTTTCTGATCAGCACAGATTATAATAAAAATGTACTGCTTTCCTTTCCTCTTCCAGGATTCCCTCTGAATGTACTTTGGGGACCTCACTAGGAGGCAAGGTTGAGACTAAGCCACATTTGGATATCCCTGTCTTTATTTATTTTTTGCCTAAAACCATCTCCTGGCACCCTAATTCCACTCTAAGGCATAAAAGCCTGCTCTGCGTGTATGTGTGAGGGGAAGAGAGGACTCCAGTTTACAGTATGCAATCCAGGGTAACTACTGCTGCTGCCAGCTGGAAGGGGCGCCTATGACTAATGTTAACAGCACTACTGTTACCCACCATCCTTCTTGGCTTCATTATTTCTCTTCCCAACACCTCTGAGCGTTTTCTTTCTCTCTTTTTACTTGCTCATACACTACGTCTAGCAATCAAACCTGATGGAATCCTATAACCTGTTTTTCTTTGCACATGGCACACAGATCCTAGGATCTATCTACCAGAATCCATCCACAGGCCTTTCATACGATTCTGCCTGAACAGGAACCTCATAAACTTCAGTTCAAACTTAGCTTGGAGAAGATCCTCTATGTTCCCTCCTCATCCTTAAAATCAGGTGGATAGAGGTAGAACAGTTTCTCACATCACACTCAGAACCAAAGTGTCACCAGACTACCACAAAATGAATTTTGTTAGAACAAGAGTTCAATTATTTTTAACTCTGTCACTAAATTTAAAAACAAAGAATATATAAATTAGGAAATAAATGAATAAAAACTTACTGTTATTGGTACATCTTTTGTTCCTGAATTTAATAAATGAAGATTTAAAACTTTTGGTAGATCTGTTAAAATTAAGGAAAAGAAATATTTCTTAAAAAGGTATGTTTTATATTTATAGCAAGTTAGAATCTATATTAGGTATCAGATTAAATCTGCTCTAAAATGTGAAATAAAATGATTTAACAATGTGCAATGTGAAATTATATTAAAACAGAATCTATTTTTCAAAACTGGGTCTTCAATCCCAAACAACCAAATTTTAATTACATATGGCCCACGGACATCCCAAATTGCAAGTACAGTTGACACCTGAGCACCACAGGGATTAGGGGTGCCGACCTCACGCAGGTGGAAATCTGTGTATAACTTTTGACCCTCAAGAAACTTAACGACATTCTCTCAGGATCCATGGGGGCTGGTTCCAAGACCCCTGTGGAGGCTCAAGTCCGGTACATAAAATGCCCTAGAACAATGCCTACAGTCAGTCCTGTGCATCCGCAGATTCCCAACCATGGATCAAAAATACTGTTTTTGATTGCGGTTGGCTGAATCCGTGGATGCGAAACCTGGGAGATGGAGGGCCGACTGTACAAGTTACTGAAAACAGTCTGTGTGTAAGTGGACCCCTGCAGTTCAAACCAGCGTAGTTCCAGTGTCAACTGTACTGTTACTTTTTACTTAATAAATCCTTAACTAGATTGTTTTCAACTTTAGAATTTGAATTCTTTTTCTGACTACCTGGGACAAGTTTTTACCATTATTTCATTATCATGCAATTGAATAATCCATAACTAAATAAAAAATCTAGAAATAGGTGAGGAACTGGATTTACAAAACTGGGCAACTACCTCCTGCTCCAATCTTGTGTTTAGAAGAGACTTTCCTTAAGTTATCCCATGGCCCTGCTTCCCCATCTGGTAAGCAATGGTGTCCCCCAGAAGAAAGGGGTGCATATAGCCTGCAATGGCTCTCGGTTCCCAAAAGTAGATTTCTACAAGGACACATAACCCACTAGAAAGCACTTTCAAAGCTGGATTACAATGGAGTAAAGTAGACTCATTTAGAAATAAACAGGGATTTTCTTTTTAAGACCCACAAACACATTGTCTCTTTTCTTACCTTGTGTTCGCAGTGTACCAAAATCTAGCATTTCTGTTGAGGAATAAATTCCAGGAGCTTGGAAAAAAATAAAACAATTATATTTTACTTTGCCAGCGTAAGATGTATTAAAAACAAACAAACTTGCAGTTTTCCACTCACCTGTTGTAACCTCGACCTCGACGGGAAGAATGATGAACTCTGTGCTGTCCGAAGCGTTAGTCTTTATTCTTATGAAGGCTGTGTGGTTATCCGCTTCTCTGGATGAAAAGCTGGCTCTCATCACTCCCTTGGTTTCATAAGGAGGAATTTCCTGACAAGTTAACAGACCATAATGTAGCACAGCTTTCATAATGCTGCAAAACCACGGTTTATCGAATAAGATGATATTGATTGAAAGATGCGTAATTATTTTATATACAAGAAAAAAAAATCACTGCTAAGTAAACAAGTATATTTCACTGACTGTAGCACACATTCCAATATTGGAGGATGTTAAAATACGAAAAACGTGCGTTGTCAGTTCCAAAGGTGTCATTAGTAGAATTAATCTATAAAATCAGTGGTTCTTTCATGTACTGTTGGTGCGTAGGGATATAATCCAGCCCTGAAGTTCTCTAACCAACACAAATGTCACCATCAGAGGGAAATGCTTTGCGGCAGTCATAACCAGAGAGCTTGGACTCTGCTTCCCTTTCATTTAAAACCTAACAAAACAAAGCTTCCCAAGCAAATCCCAGTTTATCAACTGGGTCAGGAAGGCTCTAGGTGTGGAAGATAACATCAATTCTCAGGTCTGTAACAAGAGAACACTCAGACATACACTATAAGGAAGACTCACTGACAAACATTTTTTCTGAGGTGTAATTCTTCTCCTGGTTTTAGAACAATCTGGCTTCCTTGGGACCACCACAATTTCTCTGCACACACCTTTTGGCATATTTAAGAAATGTCTGTGTCTTAGATTTTACTGTTCTTCACTAACCTCTACATGCAACTTTCTAGTCCCAAAGTAGGAAAGTGGTGATTGGAACCCTCCTCCTGGGGCCACTAGAGAGGGACCATCCACTCGTCCAGCTCACCCATCTCTAGGGAGCTGACTTGGTCTCTGGGTTTTCTCATGCACTGAAATCGGCTTTGGATGAAGTTAAGGCCAACTGATATTTTTCTTACTCTTAGCTTTGTAGGAAAAAGAATCACTGTATATTTTCTTATAGCCACTGGAAATATTAAAACATGCTTCTCAGCTACCATTCATCATCGTTCTTAACTAACTAGAAATCTGAATTCTCTTATGTTTATTAGATACCTATTATATTTCAGAGTCCAGAGTGCTAACCATTACACCATGAAACCCCTCAGATACCTATTATATTTCACAGTTCGTACTTCTTCTATCTATTGGGTTGTCAGAAAAGTCATGATGCATTTTTGCAATGAAAAACATAGAAAAAATATGTCATGACTTTTCCGGCAACCCAATAGAAATATAATACAAATTTAATAGCTTATAATTAATTTACTGAAGCATTGTTTTATACATTATTTCACCCAATGGCATTTCAAATAATAACATTGGGTTGTCGGAAAAGTCATGACGCATGTTTGCAACAGATGGCACTAGTTCATTTTTGGAAGTACTAGTCATTCGCATCTATGTTATTGCTATGTCATTTGACAGCTGACAGTTCTAGCTTCATTCTAAAAAAAAAAATTGAAGGGCCGGCCGAGTGGCACGTTGGTTAAGAGCTGGCTTGGGACGCCAGAGGGCCCTGGTTCGGATCCCACATGAGGGCC